AAGAGGCCACTTGAATAGAATACAACTGTATCTATCTTCAAACTAAGTTTGAAATAACTGTAAAAGTATAAAATCATTGGCTTGAGAAATTTCTTTTCAAGAAATTTTTTAATACTGAAGCAGTTCTGACATGTGTGGACAAGAATGAGACTGGAGGAAATATCAGGAGAAACACCACCACCCTAAACCAGAATATGAAAAAAATGAATCTAGCTTCTATTTCTATCCTTCCTCTCAAATTTTTAAGATTACAAATTTTATCTTGGTCTTATGTCTGTCTTGTACTTTTTTTTTTAAATCACTGCTCTGGACTACATTAAATACAGAGAGTCACACTACCCTTCCTATCCCTGAATTCTATGGCATTCATGTTCTTCCTGGTTCTCATTGGAATGCTTTATGTATTAGCATAAATCCTTTATCATCCAAAATGTCAAACCCCAAAACTCATTCACGATACGTTAACATCCCAACACTTATCTACTTGCACATTTTTTACGACCACTTACAACCTTGGTAGGTAACCAATCTTCATCCATCTCACCATCCTACAGTTTTGTATTACACTGGTCCAGTGTTTCCCAGAGCGGACAATATTACTTCAGGGATGGGGAGTTTGGGGGGGCGGGGGGCAATAGCAGTCTCCAGTGCAAATGGAGTGTTTTCTGTTTGTTCACATCAGCAATGCAGGTCTTGGGATGAGGAGCAACTACAGGAACTTTTTTTTTAAAAGGGGCAGTAGGGGGGCTGGAGAGATAGCACAGCGGGTAGGACATTTGCATTGTACACGGCCGACCCAGGTTCGATCCCCAGCATCCCATATGGTTCCCTGAGCACCGCCAGGAGTAACCCCTGTGCATCTCCAGATGTGACCCAAAAAGCAAAAAAAAATTAAAAAAGAAATAAAGGGGCAGTAGGCCAACAAAGTTTGGGACCCGCTGGTCTAGTCATTACCTTTGCCAAGATTGGGTAGCATTAATATGGCTTAACCAAAATAATTTAGGGGGATGGCAGGGGGTCCATATCCAGTAGAGTTCTTGGGTGGTGACTTCCAGTGGCGCTCAAGACACCATGCAGTGCCAGGTACTGAACCCAGGGTCCAGTGCATGTAAGGTAAGCACCTTAACACCTGCACTTATCTCTTCAACCATAACTATGTAATTGGGGGTGGAGAGGGTGGGGCAGTGCAGACTCTGCTGCGCTCAGAGCACCACATGTGGTGCTGGGAAACAAAACCCGGGTTAGGCTACGGGCAAGACAAGCACTTTATCCACTGTACTCCCTCTAGTCCCAACCACAGAATTCTGAATGCCACGTCGATGTGACTCTACAGATTCCATTTCTATGTATACCATAGTGGTATGTGTTTTGTTTGAATATTTTTCTGAATACGTGTTTTTCTAACTGTTTTGCTTTGATTAATACTAAACGAGTCTGCATTTCCAGCGTCAAAGGAGAGAAGGCTATCAACGGTGGCAGAATAGCAGCAATTAGAAACTATACAATCTAGGAATACTCATAACAAATTTTAGCTCATTTTCCTTTACAGTAACACTTTCCCAATTGACTATTCTCAATCTCTATAGAATTTTAAGCTTTGATCTTTTAATGTCTTACTTAATGTTTTATTGTTCTTTATTCACCTATGTATTTCCTCATATAGTCTATACACTTGGAGGGAGAGGGGCGTTTGTACACAGGGATCATTTCTGGCAGTGCTCAGGGGACCATATGTGGGGCCCAGGGTTAGCAACATGCAAGGTAAGAACCTTATCCCTATTCTATACACTCTTAAAAACGGTGTAATTTAACAATTCAATGTACAAGCCAGATTTGACTGGATTCAAATCCTGGATCTGCTACTTTACTGTTTGAGATTTGAACCAAGTTTCTTAATCTCTTCAATTCAGTTTTTTCATAATTATTTTTAAAAATTATGAATTAAACACATTTAAATACCTCAGAATGTCAGTATTTAATGAACATCAACTATTATTTTATTTTCATAATCACCAATTTATGTCAGACCGCCATCTTATTCCTTAAATTCTCCAAGAATATTCTAGATAATCTCTCTAGATTAAAAATTAAACAAGTATCTTTCTTAAGAACCAGGGTTATAGTTCAGTGACCGAGTGTATGCTTTACAAAACCTTCACAAAGATATCTGTACCACTCTTTCTCCCATTTTTTATAAACCAATATGGTGCCTCGTCACATTAAGACCTTATCCTTAATAGGTGCCCCAATCTCCCCTTACCAACTCCAAATTCCTTTAATATTTTTCAGCAATACAGATTTTCTGACAGCAAAATGTCCAGGTATCCTTTACACATGACCACATCTGTCTTGCATATGCTCTCTTCACTCTTGGAATACACTTCTTCCCTCTGGAAAAATTCTTAGTATTTTCCAAATCTCCCTATCTACCTTTGATTTTGATTGCTTTATTATTCCACCAGGATTCTGATATTGCTTGATAATAATAAAAGCCCCATTAAATGTTATTTTCCCAAAACCTGAGACAATATAAGAGACTCTTCATGTATTTTTTCTTTGTGTCTCTTCAGACTATTTCATACACAAAACAGGACTTTGCAGGACATCCAGGCTGACTAACTTGCTAAAAAAAAAAGTCTCAGAATGTCTCAGGGTATCTATTTTTCACTGCCCCACCCAATCTTAGCATAATAAAAGCAGATAAACCTGCAAATCTTTTCACTTACAGAGAATAAACTACAAATCATACCACACATAATATGGAGAATACATGACCAAAGAGAATGAACAATGTGAAACACAAAATCGAGAAAGTGTATGAAAAGGATGATCGGTAATCTAAAAGACAACTGCAAAATATCGTTTATTTCGTCCAACTCAATGAGGAAAAAATAAGATTCTGACCTATCCAAAAAAATAAAAACCCTGCCTAATAAGAACTAGTGGGATAGCACAGCAGGTAGGGCATTTGCCCTGCACTCGGCCACCCCTGGGTTGGATCCCCAGCATCCCATTCTGGTCCCCCGAGCCTGCCGGGAGTGATCCCTAAGCAGAGAGCCAAGTGTAAGCCCTGAGCACCATTGGGTGTTGCCCCAAAACAAAAATAAATAAAAGTTCCCCGTATTTTCAGCGGCAGAAACCCAAGGATGGATGACATTCACCTCAATTCCAAGAGACACAAGACACGGTCATCACACCTTATTTATGTGTACCCAAACAGGAAAAAAAAACAAAACGGAGAGGCGTTATTTGTTCTGATTTGAGAAAGGCTTCTCCCAGGGTTACTCTAGCCTGATCCTTGTTTAAGAAAGCACCTGTGGGGGCTAGAGCAATAGCACAGCGGGTAGGGCGTCTGCCTTGCACGCGGCCGACCCGGGTTCGATTCCCAGCATCCCATAGGGTCCCCTGTGCATCGCCGGGTGTGACCGAAAAGAAAAAAAAGCACCTTTGGTCACGGAGCAGCCCAAAGCCGCGAGAAGGTACCAGAAGGAGGGAGGAGGGGGGCGCGGGAAAGTTTCGGAGGAGAGACTGCAGCCAGGACGGCCCGCCGAGAGAAAGCGGGGCGAGGGGGGGAAAAAATTCAAAGACTCCTAATAAAGGGGGAGACACCAAAAGAAAACTAGCCGGTGCCGGCCAAGGGCTCCCGCGCGCTTGCACGAGAGGCCAGCGCCAGTTTCGCCAGGAAACGCGAAGGCGCGGGAAGTAACGTCAGGAAACGGGGCAAGCAGATGCCCACCCATCTCCTCCCCGGCCAGTCCACGCAACTCCACGCGCGCAGGAATCCTGCAAGCAGGAACAACAGAAACCGGGGGTTGCACAATCCAGGGCAGAAATGCCTTCGCCAAACCAGGCACACGCACACGCGCGCGCACACACACACACACACACACACACACACACACACTCACAAAGTCGAACGGGAAAGAGGAAACTACAACACCTCACTGCATCAGCAGTAGCAGCAGCAGCAGCTGGAGCCCACCCCTCCCCGGCGCCGCGCGCGGTCCAGGAGGGACGCGCGGGTCCGGCGGGCAGCTCAAGGTCCCCGCAATGTCCCCCTGCAGCTCTCGATCGCAAAAAGTTAAAAAAAAATAAATAAAATAAAATAAAATAAAAAGCCAACTCTGGCTCCACGCAACTCCCACAACAACAGTCGGCGGGCGCGGCCGGGCAAAGCTGCCCCGAAATCGCCTTCCACACCCACCCGTGGGCAAGTCACGGGGGGGGGAGAAAAAAAAAGCAGCCGCCCCCCTCGAAGCTCCCTTTCTCAACCAGCGGCCCCCCCCAAAAAAAAATGGAGCGGGAGGGGGGCGGGGAGACACCCTACCACGTGGGCAGGATGCAACACACAGGACAGCAACACGTCCGCAAAGAGCCGCTGCCGCCTCGGCCCCGGTGCCCGCCGCGAAGGACGCGGCGACGGACGGACGGACGGACGGACGGACGGACGGGACGGGACGGGGCGGGACCGGGCGGGACGGGCACGCCGGCCCCCCGCACGCGCTCGCTCGCTCGTTCGCTCACGCCGCGGGCCACAGCCCCGGGCCGCCGCCGGCGCCCCCGGGCGGGACGGGAAGGGGCGGCCGCGCGGCGGGGCCCGGCGGGCGACGGAAGAGCCCCAGACGGCGGCCGCGCGCCCCGCGCCCCGCGCCCCGCGCCCCCGGGGAGGCGCGTCTGGCTCCCGCGGGCCCCGCCTGGGGGAGGGGCGCGAGCGAGCGCGCGCGGAGCCGCCGCTGCCCGGCTGAGGGGCAGCAGCAGCTGAGGAGCGCCGCGGGGGAGGGAGCGCCCCGGCCCGCCGCCCGCCCGCCCGCCCGCCCGGCCCCGCCGCGCCCCGCGCCCCGTCCGCCGCCCGCCGCCCGCGCCGCGGCCCGACCCGGGCGGCGGAGACGCGGTCGCGCGGCGCCGAGCCCCGGCCGCCTCCGTCCCGGGAGATGCCCCGGCCCCGCCTCCCCGCCCGCCCGCCCGCCGCCCCAGCCGGCCGCCCGCCGCCCGCCGCTCACCTCAGGCTGCGCAGGCCGGGACGGCCCGGCCGAGCCCCCGGCCGCTGCGTGTGTCTCCGCCCCCGGCGAGGGTCCCCGCGGCGCCCGGTGCGAGAGGCTGAGGCCCCGAGCAGCGCCGAGAGCGGCGGCGGCGGCGGCGGCGGCGGGAGCAGCCAACATCCGGGGCCGCGCACCCGGAACTACTTCGCCGCCCGCTCCCGCCCCGCCCAGCGCCTCCTCCGCCGCCTCCCCGTGACGTCGGCGGCCGCGGCGTCACGTCGGCCTCCGCGGTCACGACCGTGGCGGCGGCCGCGGCGGCGGCGGCGGCGGCGGCAGCGAGCGGGATCCCTCCGCGGGGACGAAGTAGTGCCCCGGGACTCCCGGGCTTCGGCCTCGGAGCCGCTCCTTGTTCGCGAGCGGCCCGCGGCTCCGGGGGTCTCGGGAGTGGGGTACGCGGGCGGCGGGGTGGGGAGCGGATTCGTCGCTGGGGACGGCAGGGACAGCTTTGTTTGGACTTTGGACCCTGCCCCGGGATTCCAGGGGCCCCGGGCTCCTGGGAAAAGACTCCTCGTGACCTTGGCCCGCCCCGCCCCCCAAACCCTGCCCCTGTCATCTCCCGTTAAGGCCGAGATCTGGAAACGCGGGGACCACTTTTCCAACCGGGCCCACCGCCCTAGCCAAGGCCCCTTGCACCTTCAGGGTTCCTCTCTTCGCGGAACGTCCGGCGTCCCGGGTTCTAGATCCTTCTCCTCCTAGGCCTTTCCCGCGCCCGGCGCTGTTTCTGGATTTAAAAACAGAGGTGTCAGAAAGCTCAGGTCCCTTCGGATTCGAAACTTGGCTGCCCGCGTTATCTTCCTGGCTATCAACAGGTGGGAGGGTTAGAGGTGATTCTGTGCGACTGGTGAACTTTGGAATTTGTCTCTACGTCAATCTTAACTGATTTTGCTAAACTCTGAGCGCGGCTAATCTGCCCTGCAATTTCACACGTAATTAGATTCAGGCGCATTATTTGCTGTTGCTTCATCCGTCTTAGTCACGGAGAGCAGCAAGCTCGCTTTTGAACTCAGCCGTAGGTGCTCGGTATTTGGATGCTGGATGTGTTAGATGAAGACTAGCTTGTTTGGATGAGAGGAAGCGGAGGCCTTGGATGCATTGACCCTAGGCGCCTTTCTTTTTATTTTTTTTTTATTTTTTTCTGACGTAGTCCGGGATCAGATAAAGACCTCTGGTAGCTGGCGGAGTACCCAGTTCCTTCCGCAAACATTGAACACCTGCCATGTGCAGAGCATTTCTAGGCAGTGAGGATACCGGGCACCAATGGATTCCTTTTCTGTATTCTGGCAAGATTCTGAAGATTTAGAAATTTATCCACTTGTTAATCCAACAAATATTTGCCCATCACTGCTAACGATTCCCGTACTATTTGGATACTTGGGGTATATCGGTGAACAGAGAGGATAGGAAAGGGGAGGCTTTCCTTTCTCCCTTGGAGCTTTGGTCCTAAGTGGTTCTCTAGATGATAAACAATGGAACCAGGGGATGATATGGGCAGGGCTGTTGCCTTGCTGTGGCTGACCATACTTAGATCCAGGCATCACTCCTTGAGTACAGAGGCAGGAGTTAGCTCTGAGTACTGCCTGATGTGGCCCAAAAACCAAAAAGAAGATTAAGAGAAGGAGATTAAAAGATCCACATGTCCCAAAGTGTGTGTAGTTCTCTATCTCATATATATACATATATATACACACACACACACACACACACACTGTCACTGTCCTCCCATTGTTCATCGATTTGCTCGAGCGGGCCCACTAACATCTCCATTGGAGACTTTGTTGTTACTGTGTTTGGCATATTGAATACATCACGGGTGGCTTGTGTATATATATATGTATATATATATATTTCAAAGTTAGAGGTATGAAGAAATCTGAAGAGGATTTTTTTTAACATCAACCATTTATTCATCAACAATTACTCATTTGTTCAACAAATACTTCAACCGAGTTATGTGTTAGGTGCTGGGCTTTAATAGAAAATAACCCAGAGTTCCTAGGGAAGCTTTCTTGCTTCTCATTTCATATTTTCGCTGAATCATGAACTAGGCCTCCCGTGTTCATCTTCACAGTTAGAGAAACTGAGGCTCTGAAGAGTTTTCATCTTCACCTCAACTGAGCCTTCTGTTTGTAATAACCTCATGTCTTTCGTCAAGTAAATATCTAGGCAAATCTCCATAGGCCTACACTGAGGCAAGAGGGAGGGAAGAAGGAAAATATTTTAAAAGGAAGAACTTGGGGAAAAAAAATAGATGTGGAGTAAAGGACTTGTGATAACAAAGAGGATTTTGTGCAAGAGAAATAAAAGAATCATAACATCCAATTTGAGCTTTACAGAAGGAGATTTTTAATAGTGCCGTCACAGTGAGCCCAATCCAGAAGGTAACTTTAATCAGAAACTTGAAAGAGGTGAGGGGGTTGAACTGTTGTCTGAGAAGGAGTGTCCCAGGCAGAAAGAACAGCCAGAAGAAAAGCCCTGAGGTAAAAACATTCCTGGAAGTGTTAGAAATAGTAAAGAGGCCAAAGAAACTAGATCTGCTGAGCCAATGCAAGTGGAATGGGGAAATGAGACCAGAGAGGGGGCTTACGGGTCACTTCAGGGATTGCGGCTGAAATGGAAACACTAGTAGACTTTGAACAGAAGAGAGTAAGGTGTTCCCATTCAAAAGATGATTCTGGAGACTACGCTGAATAGGCACAGGATAATTATCTCATTATCTGGGTACAGGATGCTGGGACCTGGCTGCTAGTAGTGGGTAGGATGAATAAATGCTATATATATTTTTGAATCAACAGTCTAATTGGAAACAAAGAGATCAGATACTTAGAATACAATAGTATCCTAAAATGGGTGACTTTGCCAGCTTTCCTGAGATGAGGTAGAGTGTCACTCATATCAAGTTCAAAAGAGAATTGGACATTCCTGGTTCTTTGATGAGTCCTTTGGATGGATCCTTGATAAACACAGCTGACACTCTTCTTCTACATACACCTTCAGGTCTCAAAGCCAGTCATCGATTGAGTGGTAGCAAACCTTCTCCCAAAAGGTTTATACTAAAGAACTGACTGGGTCAGTACACTTCAGGTAGAAGATGGACAAAGAAGATTGTCACCTCTATTTATCAGAGGGAAAAACTGAGGGAATAGTTTTTGGGTTTTTACCTGGAGCTTGGATTAAGATTATCAAAGCCCCAAATCAGGGATCCTTTTGAACCTCTAAAGTGGAGAGAGCAGAATATGAAAGGGAAAAATAGGAAGATCATTGATCAGGCTGCTGCCTAAAGATCGGGGCCACCCACTTATCCTCACCTCTTACGAGTCTTGGGAAGCTCCTCATCTCTCAGCCATCAGGGATTCCAAAATACTTTCCTAAAGTCCTGTGCAAGGAGCCAGACTGGGAAGAATCTAGGCCAGGATTGCTGCCACAATGGGGTTAAAGACATTGGGGTATCAGAAGCTTTGAAAAGAGGCACAAGGCTGGAGCTATAGCACAGCAGGTCCAGAGTTTGCCTAGCACAGGGCTGACCCAAGTTCAATTCCCAGCATCCCATAGAGTCCCAGAGCACTGCCAGGAATAATTCCTGACTGCAGAGCCAGGAGTAACTCCTGAGCCTGGTGTGACCTAAAAAACAAAGCAAAAAAAAAAAAATTTACAGGGCTGGAGTGATAGCACAGCACATAGAGCATTCACTTTGCATGTGACCAAACCAGGCATCCCATAGGTTCTTCTGAGCACTGCTAGAAGTAATTCCTGAGTGTGGAACCAGTAATAACGCCTGAGCATTGCCAAATGCGGTCCAAAAACAAAAAGCAAAAAAACAGAAACGCCACAAATTAAAAGAGGGACAAACCCCAGTATGTCAAAGGATGAAGAAACTCCCTTTCCCTTCCCTTTCTGCCCACAAAAGTTATAATGACCATCAGAGGAAGAGGGATGGAACCTGGCAGAAGGTGGGCAGGAAAACTCTTGAGGATCCAAAGCTCATTTCCTACATCACATTATTTCTTTTCTTTTTGTCTCTGTTTTCTTGCCTATTAAGTGTAAACAATTGTGGCTGCCTAGCAAGACTGCTGCGCTGGCTGCCGTGAATTACGGTCCCCAAAGACAGTGGTTGTGATGTGCAGGGTCAAGCGTCAGCACAGAAAAGAACCATTTCCCTACTTCAGAGTGGGAAATGGACTGGGAGTGGCTGGAACAGGAGAGCCCTCTGAGAGGAGATGGTATCTCTAACTCGGGAGAGAGAGGCCTTCAAACAAATGAATTGCTTAAACAGTGAGATGAAGGCTCTGTTGATTTGTCACTCATAATCTCTACCCAGCCTCATCTGGATTCTAAAGGCCCTAAAAGAAACAGCCCAGGGGCTGGGGGTGGTTGCAGTGACCCTCCAAAAATCTGGACCTGGCCTTAGCGGGGCTGCACCAGCAAGGCAGGGCCTTCAATGCCTCACCTGACCCACAGCTACTTAGACAAACAAGGCTTCCCCTAATCCTTTCCTCCTCCTTTATGCCTTGTAAGTAGAAAGCAGAAAATGAGAAATTTTAACAAACTAAAACCTGCAAGAGGGAGACAGGAAAATATGAAAGTCCCTCCCAATCATTCCCAGCCTGAAAGAGCCTGGAGATGTGTATCGAATACCTCACAGTGTGTTGATTAGATAGATGGGGGGACTGTTCAGGTGTCACAGAGAAGCTCTCAACGACATGGCTATTCAATGACAAGGCTTGAGTTGGGTATGGATACTATGCAGACTGGAAAAGCAGTCAATAACCATCTCTCAAGCATCTGCTCTATAACAGGCATCAAACAAATTCAAGGAGTGAGAAGTGAATAAGCACGGTATTTTTTTAAATTTTTTTAAATTTTATTGAATCACCGTGAGATAGTTACAAGCTTTCATGTTTGGGTTACAATCACACAATGATCAAACACCCATCCCTCCACCAGTGCACATTCCCCACCAATATCCCCGGTATACCCCCCCTTTCCCCCCCTCCCCCTGCCTCCATTGCAGACAATATTCCCCATACTCTCTCTCTCTACTTTTGGGCATTATGGTTTGCAATGCAGATACTGAGAGGCTATCATGTTTGGTCCATTATCTATTTGCAGCACACATCTCCCATCCTGACCGGTT